AGACATTTTTTTTGAAAGAAGGTTGACATTTGTCTCCTTTGAATTTTAGGTGGGTCGATTACTCTGTTTTGTTATTTTTTCGGTACAGAATTTTATTTTTTCTATAGACATTGTTGCGTTTTGGGGAAGATTTGCGATTGGTTTTTAATACAAACAGGTGATCACAAGATACCTGCACACAAGTTGTGGCTCCCAATCGCTGGGAACATTCAAAAAGAGGTAACTAATAAAGGGGGGGCCAGATTTGGCAACCAAGAGAGGGTTTTTGGGAAAATTTTCACTAGAGCTTGAGTGGTGGTACAAGGTACAGACAACCAAGGAGTCCCTACAACGAAGAAGAAAGAAATCCTATATCCAGACACTCAGTAACGAGTCTTGGGACAGTACCGAACTAGTCTAGGGACATTGCAGTCTGGGGACAGTCTTGGAGTAACACAGTCTTGGGACAGTGCAACTTTGGGGCAGTCTCGGACCAGAGCAGTCTTGGTACGAAGCGGTCTTGGGACATTGGTCTTGGGACATTGGTCTTGGGACGTTAGTCTTGGGACATTAGTCTTGGGCCATTGGTCTTGGGACATTGGTCTTGGGACATTGGTCTTGGGACGTTAGTCTTGGGACATTAGTCTTGGGCCATTGGTCTTGGGACGTTAGTCTTGGGACATTGGTCTTGGGCTATTGGTCTTGGGACGTTAGTCTTGGGACGTTGGTCTTGGGCCATTAGTCTTGGGACGTTGGTCTTGGGCCATTGGTCTTGGGACATTAGTCTTGGGCCATTGGTCTTGGGACGTTAGTCTTGGGACGTTGGTCTTGGGCCATTGGTCTTGGGACATTAGTCTTGGGCCATTGGTCTTGGGACGTTAGTCTTGGGACATTGGTCTTGGGACGTTAGTCTTGGGACATTAGTCTTGGGCCATTGGTCTTGGGACGTTAGTCTTGGGACATTGGTCTTGGGACGTTAGTCTTGGGACGTTGGTCTTGGGACGTTAGCCTTGGGCCATTGGTCTTGGGACGCTGGTCTAAAGGTACCAACGAGAAGTACTGGGACAACGCTGAACGGTCTTGGGACGGTAAAGAGAAAGTCTTGGAACAGCATTAGGAAGGGGGTACTACAAAAGTAATAGGTTAGGTTGAAGCACCAAGTATAACAACACGTTCCCTATCCTAACCTAACACGAAAAGAGCTTACAAGAGTTCAAGAAAAATTGTTTTTAGCGAATTATTAATTTCTTTTTCCTTGGAGTTTTTAAACCTTAGAATAGAATTTTTGTAGACAATAATATTGTAAATAATAACAATTGTAAATAATGAGGCGGAGCAGGGTACCGGTAGCTGAAAAAAGATCGACCGAAGCAAGGTATAATTCGTCGCTACGCAAAGCAACACCAATGGGTCCGAAGATAACAAAGAAGAACTTTTCAGTTAACATGGTCAGCACAAGGAGTACAGCGGAGAACAGGGCGAAAGAGGGCACGGAAGGGGAGAGAGTAGAACCCACCATCGAGATTGATCTAGAGACACCCGATCAAAGTGTGGATGAAACAGGGAAGATGGCGACAGAGTCAACTCCAATGCCCAATACAGAGGAACCGAACCAGAAACCCATAGAGTTCTCACCGATAGATGACGCGGAAGATGCAATAGGCAACATCGAAGAAACGGTGAAAGAAGACTCTCAAGTAAAGAGGACATCTTTTACGGAAAAATTGGGAATAATGTTCGGAATAAAAACGAGAGAAAACGTGACTGAAGAGCCAAAAGCAGAAAGAGCACGAACATTTGGTACAGTGAGCACGAAAGCGACAGAAACCGGCCAGAATGAGGAACAAGCTAAAGCAGAGGCTATGGCCGAAGAGAAACCCACGGCTGACCATGAAGAGACTACCATTGAGCTGGGCGATTTGTTGGCGAAATTAAATCAGATCGACAAAAGACTTAAGAACAGTGAAGAAGACAGAGAGGTGATAAAAAAGGAGATAAGATACAACAAGCACGAGTATCTAGACAGTTATTTTAACCTAGCTAAAGCAACAGAGGAGAGACTCAAGGAAATGTCAGACAAGGTAGAGGCCACCAATGAAGAACGAGAAAAGAACATCAAAACAGACATGCAACAGTTGAAGAACCGATATGATGATGTTAACAGCCAATTAGGGAGCCTGGAAAGGAGAATGGACACAATGAGCAAGAGTCAAGCAGAGAGTTCGTGTGCAATACAGGCGAAGTTGGATGCAATCTTGAGAGGTTCTACACCACAAGAGAGACCGGCAGCGGATCGTACGCAAGGCACCAGAGTTGATTTTGTAGAACCACAAAGAAACAAACGGCAATCGACACCGTTGCCCATACCCAGGGATGCGATAAGCATAGCACCAACAGCTGCGAAAACAATAATGAAGAGTGGAACGTCGAACACGACGACTGGTCCGGGAGATTCAACAGCCAACAGCAACTCAGGACCGGATGCTATGACATGGGCCAGCACTTGGGAGATGATGAACAGGACTCTAGAGGCCTTCGCCACGAGGAACACTGACTCGAGCGACAGGAGAGAGGGAAAATCAAGAAAAACATTCAAGAAGCCAAAAGAATTCAAAGATGACTCCGATGGATGCATTGACACTTGGGTGGAAGTGATGAGACTACATCTAGAGCAAGATAACTTGAGTGACGAAAGACAAGCGTGCACAGCCATACTCAGCAATTTAGAAGGCACGGCATTAAAGTGTGTGGTTGCGAAGAAAGAAGAAGAACGCGACACCGCGGACAAAATCTTTGAAATACTGTTGAACAGATTCGGCTCAGGCATGAAGGGTCATCAAGCGATGATGCGATTTGAAAAAAGGAGACAGAGGGACGACGAGTCAATAGATCGGTTCCTAGATGACCTCGAGAGCTTGAGAAGGAGGAGTGACCCAGAGGAGTCGACAAACAGACGGAACTTTAGCATTGCCTCGAAGTTCATTGATGGGGTGAAAAGTGATGACTTAAGGACAATGTTAGCAACATACTACACGTTGTCGAAGGACAGCGCACCCACACCAGAAGAAATGAGACAGAAATCAAGAGAATACATGCTGATGAAACCTAAGAAGTACTCATATTCTGAAAACAGGAACACGCAAGGGGGAAGCCAACCCCAGAGGTCATCATGGTACAAACCTAGAGATGATATGGATAAGCGCAGATCATGCGCGAACTGCGGGTCAGCGGATCATCATGTGGCTGACTGCACAACGTACAAACAAGGCATGAAGAGCCTAGGTTATGCACCGGATGAGGAGGACATGAGTCAGATGGAGGAACACGAGTACTATAATGGCTTAATCATCAAGATAGGCGACAGATGTTTTTTCTGTAACCAGGAGGGGCACTTCAGAATGGATTGTCCCTTGTTCTGGGAAGCGGTCAAGGACCAGAATCACCCCAAACATAAGTTGGCATTAGCGGCGGTGCAGAATCAGCGGAACAGGCAAAACGAGTTCGAATCTAGGAACTTAGGGGCACCAAACACCGAATTGCCGACGAAGACAGTGAAAGCTGTAACACATGTTAGCGGTGCGTTAGAGTCCGCGGCCGGGAGCTCTCTAGAGATAAATTATGAGAGAGCGGCGACGGAAGCAATTGCCAAAGTGAAACAAGATCTGGCTGCGAAAGAAATAGAGCAACGACTAAAGTTGGAGATCGAGAGACAGAATTTTAACGAAGCATTAACCGGAACGAACGTAGTACCAGAGGCTAGAACGGGCTCAACAAAGAACGGGAATTGTAACACCGTGAAAATGGTGACAGGTAAACCCTTTGGAATATCGAAAATCGGAGCAAGAATAATGTCGATAATCACAGTGGGCGGCCACGAGGTGACTAGAAACTTGAGCGAGCCGAGCGACCAGACGTTAATGCACATTGACGTGTATGCAGACTACTTGAGTGGAATAAGTCCACGAACTACTTCTAGAGCGCTCAGGGCACTACTCACGAGAGGGGGCAGCAAGTCGGTACGTGTTGATAACAGATACACTGAAGCTTACGGTCCACACGAGGTTATGCTAAACATAGATGGAATCAACATCTATACCAAGACGATGATAACATGCGACGAAGACCTGATTGGACAAATCTATGTAGGGAAGGAGGAATTGAAAGTAAGATCGATTGGACACTGTGCTATGCTTGAAGAAGATGCAATGCACATCGGAACGGAAGCAGACGTGACAGGGCACGTGTTGGACATAAGTGGAAAGAAGACTCAGTTACGTGGGTTACTTGACACGGGAGCGGTCTTGAGTGTCATACCAATTGAGACTTGGGAGCGAATGGGCTTCAACAAAGATGATTTGATAGACTCGAGAATACGGCTGTCAGCTGCGAACAAAGGGGCCCTTCGGGTGCTAGGCAGGACGCCGATAATAGCCCTCAATTTGGGAGAACGTAACCTGTGGATGAGCTTCATCGTGGTAGAAAACCTGGATGAATCTGACCAATTCATTTTGGGCAGAGACTTCATCAGGAATTTCGACGTAACGATTGATCTAAATAATGCAATGTTCAGGATACGGAACCCGGATAGGAGGTACGCAATCAAACCGGTAAATTTAATAATGGCAAATGAAAACAAAGCACCGGTATTCTTGAGTAGGAGAGTGAGGCTAAAAGCTAATGAAGCAGCAATCGTGAGCTTGAGGATGAAAAACTACAATGAACTAAGTGACAATAAGCAAGTATGTATAGTTCCAAACCCTAATAGTCAAAGTGCTGCTGTTTTAGGAAGATCATTTTCGATAACGAAGAGTGGTCTCTGCGTCAGTGTCTTGTTGAATACCCTTGACATACCGATCACGATACAGAGAGGGAGGAAACTGGGATATGCTTTGCCGGTTAAAACTCGATATGAAACGATTGAGAACTTAAAACAAAATGAAGTTGTTGATTGTCCCAATCACAGGGATAAAATTTGTATCTTGAGACGATTGCAAAAAATTAAATATTCTTCAGGCCTTATTAAATCACTTAAGTCAGAAACGGACGATGGGCTGTCGAGCTGTTCAAACTTTCCAGAGCGACCCACACTAGATGAGATGCAGACAGATAAACCGGTTCTGCCGGAGATTGAACATCTGAGGGGCAAACTGAAAGATGAACAGCTCGAAGCCATCAAAGACGTACTAGAGCGGAACGAAGAAGTTTTCTCGAGGCATAAGGCGGATATCGGGTGTTGTAATTTTGTGGAGCATGAAATAGAACTTGAGGAAAACGCGGTACCGCACAGGGAGGGGGCGAGGCGTATGACCCCACACAAATCGGACGCGTGTAGAAAAGAAATCGAGACGTTACTAGAGTATGACATGATAGAACCATCCAAGTCACCGTGGGCGTGTGGAGTAGTGATGGCCAAAAAGAAAGGCGACCAGTTGAGGTTCTGTTGTGACTTTCGATACCTGAACTCCGTCACGGTGAAGGATGCCTATCCCATACCCAGAATTGATGAAAGCCTATCGAAGTTAGGTGATGCAAAATTTTTTACGACTCTTGATTTAGGTTCGGCTTTTTGGCAGGTACCATTAAGGAAACAAGACAGGGACAAGACAGGGTTCACCTGCGAGTTAGGTCTGTTTCAATGGAAACGGATGCCGTTTGGACTCTGCAATGCCACAGCCACGTTTCAACGGCTGATGGCACACGCGCTGATAGGCGTGACGAAGAAGTACGGCAACCTGGTAATGTGCTATGTGGACGACGTGGTAATAGCAACGCCAACACTAGAAGACCACATTGAGAGACTTGATGAGGTGTTCGCGTGCATGAAAAGATCGGGGCTGAAGTGCAAACCATCAAAGTGTGAAATACTCAAGGACTCAATAAAATATTTGGGCAGGATGGTAGACAAGCACGGCATCAGACCTGACCCAGACGCCGTGGAAGCAGTCCTAACCTGGAAATCACCGAAGACAGAGCACCAGTTGATGAGCTTCCTGGGCTTCGCTAACTATTACAGGGAGTTCATCAAAGGCTACGCGGACAAGGTATACCCGATGCAACAATTAATGAGACACAAGGGCAAGAAGTTCACGTGGAACAACGCAGCAGAAGAGTCATTCCAGAGAATAAAGAAAGAGCTATGTGAGGCACCAGTACTGGGTATGCCGACTGAGAAGGGGATGTACGTGCTGGACACAGATGCGTCGGTAGTCGCGATTTCTGGGGTTCTCCATCAAGAACAAGAATGGAATGGGAAGACAGTCTTGAGACCAATAGCATACGGGAGCAAAGTCCTAAGTGACACAGAAATGAAGTACGGAGCACCGAAAGCAGAGATGTTCGCAGTGGTCACCTTTGTCGAGAAATACAGAGCGTACCTAGGCAGTGAACCTTTCAAGCTGCGAGTAGATAACCGAGCATTAAGCTGGCTGAAAACGTACTCAATGGACCAGAGCTACATTGGGAGATGGATAGTTCGCTTGGACGGATACAACATGATAATTGAACATAGAACGCGAGACAAACATCAAAATGCCGACAGCTTGAGCAAGAAGACGGAGTTCTACGAGAGACAAGAACAAAGAGAGGCGGACAGACCTGAGATCAAAGATGGTTTCTCCTTTATGGACAAAGAAACATACGACAGTCTTCCACTCACGAGATGGCTGGACAAATCAGGTAAACCGATTGAAGATCATCCCGAATTGCCAAAAGAGTCTCTTGAAAAGACCATCTTGAAGAAAAGCAGAGGGATTCCGGTAGGAATAATGCTCAAGTCCAAAATCGTGAGGGAAACACTCAAGGCAAAAGGTCACGATCTCACCCAGGTAGAGGAGGGAACAGTCCAAATAGATGAAGACTTAATGAGGTTGCTTGAGAAACTATCGGATGACAAACCCGTGATCCAAGGGAAAAGTCAGGAGGCACCGGAACTAACCATACTTCGGAGAGAAAAAACAGTGAACAATACTGACATCTCAAAAGGAATCACCACTGATAGCAAGGAAGTTGTGCGATCACTAGTTGAGAAAATCCCCGAAAAAATTCTGGAGCAAACAAAAGTCAGGGATAAGAAAGTGACATTCAGAGAAGAAATTGAACACCTGGGATTAGATCAAGAGTCCGGGGAGTGGTCCAGATTCATGGAAGAAGACGAAACCGGAGAAGGAAAATTGTCCGGGGAGCGTAAAGAATGGGATGAAGACTCGGACGAGAACAGTGAGGATCAAGACAGTCTATGTATGATACTGGCGGAAGAGAAGATGAGACAGCACGACAGGGAATTACAGACAGATCCATCTTCAGGAACGTACAATCTGGAAATGCAAGAGGTACGAGGTGGAGAAGAGCTCGAGAAAATAGCAGTTTCAAGAAAGCCTCTTAGGGAACTATCGTGCAACTCAAACGTCAGAACGAATCTGGTACCAGAGGACGACATGAAGATCATGAAAAGGATAATATGTGTGAAACTGAGCGATGACATCCACAATCCTGGTGAGATGAATGGACAGATCATGGCGTTAAAGGAGCACGTTAAGGCGAGATATAGACTGTCTGACCTAATAAGGGCCCAGAAGAATGACAAAATAACAAGTAACCTCTCCAAATGGATCCATTCTGGAGTCAAGGAGAAGGGGGAACTTGAGGAAGACAGCTACAAGATCTTGAGCCAGTTCTACAAAGAAAAGAGAGACTTACTTTACCACACAGCGGAAGGGGTGGTAGCGTGCAAGAGAAGAGATGAGGAAAAGATATTACACAAACACAACCTCATCATACTACCACAACTGTACCAAACGGAAGTGCTCTTCAGATCACACGACCAAATGGGCCATCAGGGGATAGATAAAGTACAACAAAGGATACTTCACAGGTTTGACTGGCCGGGAATGAGAAAAGCTTGCGAGAGATGGGTGAATGCCTGCCTAGCATGCCTTCAAGTAAAAGACCCAAGGAAGATGAAGTTTCCCCTCAAGTCGGTCGAGAGTTCGGAATTCAATGAAGTGGTGCAGATAGACCATCAGAAAATCTGCATGACGGAATCGGGTTATAACCAAATACTAGTTATAATAGATCACTTCACCAAGTTGGCGGAAGCAGTTCCGTGCCAGACAGCCTCAGCAGAGGAAACATGTGATCACCTGATAACGCATTGGATATCGCGGTATGGTTGCCCAATGACTTTCCAGTCAGACAACGGCAAGGCTTTTGTGGGGGACTTAACAAAAGAATTGATGAAGAGGTCACACATTGCTCAAGCACACTCGACGACCTATCATCCACAGACCAATGGGTTGGTAGAAAGACAGAACAGGACACTAGTCAACATGCTCAGGGTGTACTGCTCAAGGTACATGACGGACTGGGACAAATACCTGCCACAGGTAGTAGGAGCCTACAATAGTACCCAGCACTCTACAACGGGTATCAGCCCTTTCATGATGTTGACGGGCAGGGAAAGGGCAATGCCTCTGACATTCTTCTATCCGGAGTACGAGGGGAAGAGGACGTCGCCTCAAGCATACGTGAAGGAAGCGATCAGAAGACAACAAGAGCTGAACGAGCTATGTCGGAGAAACACGGCACAAGCGCAAACGAGGCAACGCAAGAAATATGACGAAAAGATACTGAGAGCAAAGCCATACGAAGCGGGCCAATACGTGTGGGTCTTTCAAAATGTCATACCGCCCAAGGGAACAAAGAAACTACTCAAGAAATGGAGAGGACCGTTCATGATTACGGAAGTACATCAACAAGGAAGGTTCTATCGCTTGAGTACAGGGCGAGCAGCACATTACGAAAATCTGAAACCTCACGTTCCGTCCCCGGAGGATTGGTGCCTGCCGAAAGACATGGAGGGCCTTGACTACCTGGTGGTGGAACCAGCGTGCGAAGTGAATGAGAAAGGCACCAGAGAGAAAAATGATGGTAATGAGAACTTGAGTTTGGACGACAACGAAAAGATAGAAGTGGAATCGGATGCAGGTTCATTTGTAGAAGAAGACTGGAACGATCCCGAGCAAAACGAGGTACCGAAGTGGATGGAACCGGATCGACCAACACCACCGGAAACCAGGACGGGCAATCGTAAACGAACAGGTATGAGGTACAATAGGTACGGGGATGACTTCTTGATCGATAAGATACAGCCAGACAAGTTGGGCGATGAACTACTAAGCGCAGGCGAACTGGAGGCCGAAGAGGAATGGCAAGTGATTGACGATGGTGGACATTATCCGCAGGATGATAACTCGACGCCAGAATTGGAGACGGACCTCGAGCAGAGTGAAATAGAAAGGAGGGAGAACTCGAACTTGAGGATTCTAGAGTGGATGCGTGATGTCAAGGACGAGAGCCGCGAAGCACAAAGCATTCAGCAAATCGATGTATCAGCAGCAAGTTACATGAAGACAGAGGACCCTCTTTTCGGATGGACAGCAACAGATAGGCCACTGGACATCCCTAAGGACAATTCAGACCCGACATCGACGGGGACGTCGATAAATATTTTTGTCCGGGGAGTGGGGGTAGGACTTACCCACACCGAAAATTTGATGATAAAGAAGCTCAAGGAAGTGAGGGAAACAAGCGGATTGGAACTGGAGGAAGAAGAACCAGAGCCTACCATAGGAAGGAATTTCAAAACGAAATTCGAAATACCCAATGAATACTCAGAGAACATCATGATAACGGATAGCGACTTCATCCTGTCAAACAGGACCAGCGCGATCTGCATCACGGCGGACATGAGTTTCAAATCAAGATTGGAGGCTGACTTCAAAAGAGAGTACCAGAACGTAGAGTTTCTGTTCAGACAGAGGCCAGGACTGGGAGGCATATCAGCGCTTCCACCGTCAGTGGCACAAGTCCCGGGCAAATACCTCTGCTTCCTAGTAACGAGAGTCAACGACAGAAACACAATTGATCCCGAACACGTGATATTGGCACTGACAAGACTACGTGACTTCATGATTGAAAGAGGAATAGTGGAGGTCTCGATGCCGGTGTACGACCCAAACAGGGGCAAA